TGTGTGTGTGTCTCCTAAACACTGGATTGGTGGGGATGTGATGGGTGTGTGGAGAGCTGAACATGTCTTAGAAGAAGACAAGATAAAGTGATTCCCTGCATGGATAAATAGGTATTTATTGTGGTAACTAGCCCTGGTCAGCCTGAGCCCACAGTCTACAGAGTCCAAAATCCCAGTAGGCTGTTATGACTGTGTATTATAAGATGACACATAGAGCCAATTTCTCCTCCTTTCTGCCTCCCTACATGTGAGTGGTCATGATATTTGTGCCATTCTTGTACTGGGAAACAGCTGGGACTGATTTTTGGCATGCTTTTACAGTTTCCCGTTCTATCCTTTAGCACAGAGCTTCACAGGGAACCATTCCAAGCCTGTAGCTTTTCAATTCAGTTCACCACTCTTACCAGCAGACTCCCTTCTGAGCAAGGGCTTAAAGTGGGATGGATATTTTAGTTCTATCTGCCCAAACAAAAATCTCATCCCAGCTACTCTCAGAAAGGCTATATCCTCAGAGTCCCTACATGGAGATCTCACTAGATACAGCCACTGAGATCTTACATTACATATTTCTAGCTAGATTTCTAACTGTCATCTTCTCTGGTTCTCCCCCATCCACACCCTACTCCCCCATGTTGACTGCAGGAACAGAGGGATGAGGACTCGCTTGGGCTGCCTATCTCACAAATCAGACTCATGCAATGATTTCACAGCTATTCTTCCCGACAAGCCCAACAGGGCTTTGAAGTAAGTATAAATGTGCCTTTCCTGCTTTCTCTTTCTATTTTTTATTTCCCTTCTTTTGCTGTGTTTTTTAGGCTTTGAGTCCCAATCCTGCAGCCAGAAAAATAGGAAGGAAACCTAAGACCTTGAAAAAGCAGCAAGTTTCTTAGACAATACCTGGATCATACATATACTGGAGCAGATTCTCTCCTCAGACAGGATATGCAGTCCAGCCTGACTGATGTAAGAGAAAACTGTTACTGAGGATAGAATTTGACCTGTTA